TTTTTGTAACGGAGGGTAGTTGCTAACAAGTACGAGGAAATCCTCGACAGGGGGGGTCGTATTTGTCAGGGTGGGTCATGGGGGGTCGTACTCGTGGGGTCAGTAACGTCAGTGGCATCGTGGTGCAGATAGGAGTAAGAGGGTGTAGCGCAGCAGAAAAACAAGGATATGTGAGAAAACATGATATAAAATATTCTTTGCAGGTTCAGTCGCTCCATTCCCTACCTTCGAGAAGGAAGTATTTGAAAGTAGTACAAAGAATGAAAGTGCATCTTTGCAAGGAACAGGGTCACATGTGCTGCGAAGGCATTTCCTCTATCTACCGCCCGCTCCCTCGCCCTCAATACCTCGTTGAGAATGACACTGTTAGGGACGCTGTCGCAAAAACGACAATAGTTCTGGAAAGACCCTGGGCAAATGAAGCTGTTCCTTAGGTTATAGGAGTTACGAAATGTGTTTACTACAATACAGTTTCTGTCAACAGGTCATCATCATATGTATAACACCTTTCAATAGATTCTACAACTTGAGTGGAGGTCGGATGCATGGCCTATACTGAGACGAGATCGGACGATGACGATTGCCCCTTTTCTTGTCGCTTACGTTGGAGAATTTATTCTAGACACATTTCGAGAGTTGCCAACGAATTAACTTGCAATGGTGAAGAAGGGAGCGGCTTTTTTGGTGGTCGAGCTCAACTAGAAAGAAGGAAGCTAAACAGACTTTTAGGAATCGCAAGCCTTCCGCTTCCCACAACTGTCTTCCGCTGCCTCGGCAAAATTTGAGAGACCCTATCTCTTCGAGTGTAAGCTTTAGATCAATTTCAATATTGCCCGGTAGTAGCAAATCCAGCTCTATCTAACTCTACCACATTGCTCTAAAGGTTATGAGATGGGATCTCGAGCGGGGTTTCGGCAAATCTGACCCACGGATAAACCGCGCTGCAACTGAATGCTTTGCTGTACATTGATGGAACTCGCTTATTCACATCAAATCAAAGTTAGAGGGGTCGTATCAAGACCCCGATCTGAGGGGGGGGGGTCGTACTGATGTGACCACGTCCTCGATACGATTTTCACCCTGCTTGTCAGAGCAGTGCTCTCTGACCGTCCCACCCACTAGTTTAGTTGATGATTAGGGCGAGTCCTGTTGCTAGCAATGCTGCTTTCATTTTGGAAGAGCATTCTACTTCAATGGTTGTATCTTCAAACCCGCGTGAAGCGTTATGGAGCGTTCAGAATTGCGATCGTACGTGCGACTGGGCGACTAGTCTATAATGAAAAATATACGCTTAGATTAGGCGATTAGGCTCCAAGAGGCGTGTAGACGAGTAGGACGATTAGGCGGGGAAGGCTGTATTTTAAGCACTGATTGGTTTTTTCCGCCCATAGAGCGTTGTAGGCGAATAGGCGATTGGCGATCGCTCAAGGGCGGAGCGAACAATCGATACACATCTTTTCTCGCCTACACGCCTAATTGCTTAATCGCCTTCTCGACTACTCAGCTACTCGCCTAATCGCCTAATCGCACGTACGATCGCCAACTCTGAAGCTCCATTACCATAGAGTAGTAAATTGCGATATTACGATAGTAGGATAGTAGTAGAGTAGGAGATTAGGATAGTAGTAGATTAGGATAGTGCGCTGACAAGATTAGATATGTATTGATCTATTCGCTTGAAGTCGCCCAATCTACTACTCTCCAGCGATTTCAATCGATACGTATCCAATCTTGTCAGCGCAATCTCCTACTCTACTACTATCCTAATATCCTGTCGCCTACTATCCTAATCTCCCGAGTCGCGAACTATGAACGCGGCCTTATGTTTCTTCCGAAAGTCGATGATGGTCTCTTTTGTCAGTGCCACAGCCAGCGGCAGTTCTTGTCGCGTTCACTGAGTGAACAAAATGATATGCAGGACGGTTGCAGCCACCGCGCGTCCAGAAAAATGCACTGCGCCGCTGCTCGGTTCAGTACCAGATATACGTTTTTGATCTTCAATGGAATGAAGGTGCAGACGTACCCAGGTCTGACATTAAAGTTCCTTTGTCGCTCTTCTGCTATCAGTGGAGCTGATTCCGGCAAAGGACCTTGAGGCTCATTCCTCTCTCTGCTGCCTGGAGTCTCCCTGCTGCCGGGACTCTCCCTACTGCCAGACTCAGCCGACTCTCTGCTTGCAGATGTTGACTCTCTGCTAGTACCTGATGCCGGACTCTAAATGATGCAAAGCAATCACGATGAATTTATGCGAGTTCATTAGCTATATTTCGCAAAGCTCACACGTCTCTCACTCTCCGAACTTTCAGATTCCGACTCAGAACTCTTTTGCTTTTTCGATGACGACTTCTGAAAATAGGGCTCAGCTGCAATTCTTGACGGTCGTACGAAACACTTGCAAAACATACTCGCTTTTTGCGTCCCATCGTCCTTCAACTCAATACTGGAAGTGTGTGTGTGCACGTAGCGAGCTTCCCGTGCCTACCGGACAGATGTACCGCCACCTCTCTTTGTGAAGTAGAAATTGAAATGAGGTTACACTACAATTCGAATAGCACATCACTCAGTTTGATAATCTGTAAACATGTTGTGCCGGTTTGTCGGTGTATAGGTCGGTGTTTACTTATGTATGGCCGTCTGCTGATCCCGGGGGGGGGGGGGGGCGGGGAGGAGACGGAAACATTGACAGTGAATCAGCAATTAGGAGTTTCGGCTCTACTCAGTTAAAACCATATTGAGTGTGTGTAATGGTTACGGACTTCTATTGTGAGCTTTCGTCTTCAAAGCAATACAGGGTGGCCGAAAAGTGTAGGACGAAGCTTTGACCGCTTGCTGGCACTGAGCCGTGGAGTATTTTCAGAGTGTTTCGAAACTCTTCGAAAGCTTTGAAACTATGTAAGAAGCACCATAAGTTGTTTGGTCCAAAGTTCATCTGAACTCTCGCCATGAAGATTTTTTGCATCGACCCATTACCAAGAGGCTGCCCAATGACGGTCTCTGAAATTGCAACTTCGGAAAGCGACTCGGTATTCCCTCTTCAACTCTTTGAAACATGTTCGGTGCTCTCAAGGTTCAAGCACGTCTCTGGGATTGCGAAAAGTGGAAGTTCAAGAACTGTGCACACTCAGAGGATTGGAGCAAGTCAGAGGATGGCTCACAACGATGAAGCCAGCGTGAGTCACACTTTTGATCTCAGGATCTGCCGTCAGAAAATCTTGGGAAGCAATCCAATTTGAAGAAAGTTACCGACTTCTTTCTATGCTGGTTTTATTGGAGCAACCCGAATACTGATAAAATGCAAAAAGTTTCTGCACGAGCTCGAGGTGCGCCGCATCTCTCTTACGGATTGGGTTAATGAGAAAATTTTCGAACTAAACTTCTTTGCGACCACCAAAGTCAGAGGCAGTTGTTGCCAAAAAGTGAGAGCAAGTCTCCGAGATAACGTCTAGTTTACAACAGACTTTCTCCCGAAGGTGTGGTAGTTTGTGACGGGGTAACATCCAAAAGTGCAGCTCCATTGGAGTTCATCTTCCACAAATGTTAAAATTAACTCGAAGGTCTTGCAAAAGACTTAATGAGGTACGGTATGTTGTTCTGGATTTACGAGCATTTTGCTCAATGATCGTTTGCTCTTCAATGAAGCTGGGCTCCCTAATACGCGTTCAAATCGACCAAAGCCATCCTGGGCGCTCACTTCCCGGGCCACTGGAGCAAGGAATTGTGACCTTCTTCTCAGGCCCTTAACCCGATGGACTCTCTATGTGAGGATGTTGTAGAGCAAGACCTCATAAGACTTTCCAGCTCGTTGGGTGCTCCGAAGTTAGCGCTTCCGAAGAGGTGGAACGACAACGCCGCGAAAGCTATAATGAAAAACGAAAAAAAACGCAAAATCGCGTTCTTACGATTAGCGTGAATTTGCGAAGTTACATGGCGAGTACCGTACTGCTTTGTGCTTTGAAGTCCTCGACTCAAACCTTAAGAAAAGCAGAGGCCCGGATTCTTCCAAAATACAGTAGCAGTACAAGAAATGAATTGGGTTTTTCAAAGATGTGCAGCGTCGCAGCAATAAAAAGAAAATTTTCTGGAAAAATGTCTGATAAAGTGTAAAACCCGCATTACTTTCTGAACGACCGCATAGAAACACGTAATGCACGCAGGACCATTGCCGAACAAGATTGTTTCGATAGAACAGGTGACACTGAGCAGAGCAGCACAGAGTTGCAAGGCTGTTTCGACCTCCACACTCGTGACCCCTAGACTTCCCGGTCAACGGTCTTGTGGTGCAGTAGTCCTTCCTAATGTGCGTCTTTTCAGGGTGCGTTCGATCTTAACTCCGCTCGTATGTGGGCAAATGTGTGAGCGCATCGAACACCCCAGATGGAGAACCCTCAAATCGAGAGGATATTCGACGATTGGTTGAGCCTTCTGCCCTCCTCCACCCGAATCCTATCGACCACTTGTGCGATGCATTTGGGAAAGTTTTTGCAGCACACGTTAGTGCGCCAATAATGTACAGAATTGTCGATCGTAGTGTTCGATGAATGATGATCGCTCATAAGAACTCCTTACCAACCTTGCGGACAATAATGGGAGCACATAGCAGAGCATGCTCTGCATACACGTGAAAGGGAGCTTCACTAGCGGGACCTGACATTGGGTTGCACAAACGCTAAAAAATAATAGTGAATTCGAATAATGCGGTGTAGCTTTTTGAGAATGACGCTCCTGATATTGAAAGCCGCTCTTTAGCGGTTGTTGTGATTAATAGTAGTGAAATCAGCCTAGTTCCATCTCGAAAAGGAAAAGCTGTATAACAAGTGTTAGCTTTTATTAATGTCTATTCCTTGTGTCATTAGCTTAGCTTGCAATATTCACAAGCTTCAGCGGTGCTTTCTTCGACTTTTCTTTCCTCGACGAGATGATCGCGTGGACGATCGACTTTTTTTCGATGGTACTTTCTGGAACAATACTTCTATGACCCTCCACATTCACAGAGCAAGTTACGTGATGTGATGGATTTAGACGGTTACCAGCTATGAGCAACACCATAATAAGAAGCTTTTCCTCATGAGTAGGAACGACTTTGTTAGAAACACCGTCCCATGGCTGGCATTTGGCCTATGAATTACGTGTCGGGAAGTGCATATACTCATCCGAGAGTTGGGGTAGGCGTGTCACCGGAATGACGTGGCCATCGCGTGCACTTGATAGAAAGCTGTGGATAAGCTGCTTCCAACATACATCGCTGGATATCAGCAAAGCATGCTGGCAACAGCTTATCCACGCAACTTCTATCAAGTGCACGTCACTTCCGGTGACACGCCTACCCCAACTTTCGATTATCGACTGGACATCAATGACTACTCTGCTGCAGAGCCGATGAGGCAGCGGCCAGGAACGCTATAATCGCCCATAAACTGTAACTCTTCATAACCCAATCCATGCACGGCCTCATGTTAAGAGTGGATGTAACTTAAGATCAACGTTAAGCACCTTTTTAGGCCGATTTTGAGAATTTCACAACCCTCTCTCATTTTCACAACTAATTATAGAGGGGAGGGAGTCATACGAGCCACTAACCACCCTTACCAACCTCTTTCTACATATAGTATTCGATTCCATTATGGTTGTTCCCATTGTATATTATGTGATTCTTAGACTACTACCACGAACTCCGACTGACTTCGACCCAAACCTGCAACCCCGGCTGGGGTCGGTCTGACGCACGACACTGACCCTGTTCATGACACACCCTTAACGCTTAACGGCTGATTCTGAGCGCTTCACTTCCTCTAATCTCATTACAGCCGAAGCCAAACTTCCGAAACTCCGAAGGAACCTTTTCCAGGAAAGGCTTCTCAACCGCTGACGAGGTTTTGTGATATTTGGCACAAGTACCAGAACTCCTTCGCCAGTTGCGCTACCCTCCTCATCGTCAAGGCAGCTTTTTCTCTGGATGCCTCATCTTTCGTCACTCATGAAATTGAGGCACTCACTCCTCAAGCCCTCTTGCTTCACTCTACGTTTGATGCACAGCTCATCCTGTCCAAACGCGGATCCTGGCACAGGCTTCTCTCACATCTTGTAGAACAACGACTCAGCGGTTTAGCGACTGGACCCGATGTGAGTTCGCAACAGGATGTGAACTTGAAAGGATGACTTTTCCCAAATACCGGTCAAGAAATGCTGTCACGGTAATGGCGATATCTGATGGTGCACCATCCTACCATTACTCGCGACGTAAATGCCACACACATAGCGAAGACGAGTTATCCCGTTATGGCGCACGGTGTGTCTCATGGTGCCCTCCGACCAGGGCCAACCGTCACGTTCGAACATTTTCGGGATTTTTGCGACCCCCCCCCTCTCGAGGGGGTCCAGTTGCGACCCCCCAATACAACCAGCCTTCCCCACCGCGACCTCTCCCTCTTCTATAGTATTTGATTCTGAGACCAGTTGACACAGCCCAAAACCTACCTAAAACTCCGAAACTCCACCCACTTTTCCCAAAAATAGCCGTCGAGCGGGGGGTATATACAACCACTGAAACGGCAACTTTTTTTTTCGCACGCACCTATGCCCTGCGCCCCTGATGACCAAACGCAACCAGCAGAACTGCGCAATGCGACCCCTCTCCCCTCCCAGAACACAAATGCGACCCCCCGTTCGAACAGTTCGAACGGACGGTTGACCCTGCCTCCGACCCATGCTCGTTATTCTGGTCTAGACCCAAGAATCCATAATGTCAGGGCCTTGTGACACTCTCCAAGATGAAGGAATCCACGCTAGGTTGGTCAGGTCTGTTTGAGCTGCATTCGGGGTGAGTTGTAATGCCCTTCCACCAAGCCGTTAACCTTACGCCACTTTTTTTTTCTTTATTTATTACAATGTACCTTAACTTATCTATTTTGCTTTCATGGATCATGCCAATTAAAAAAGCTTCCTTTTTATTGTCATCAATTTGCACATGTTGCTGTTGATGACGCTGTGCCAGATCTCCATCTTTTTCCGGGTTAGTTAAAATGTTAATCTGCAATCAAGAAGGTTTGCGTCCGCAAAACAAGCGCACAAAACCGAGCAGGATCTTACCGGTTTGATTTCGCCAAAACCGTCTTTCAGCTTTTCTGCATAGCGTCGAACAATCGACTTCACATCTGAGGCTAATGCGACGCGCGTTGTTGTACGGAAGCGACCAGTGCTTCCTACTGAATGCTTTTCATTACCCAAAATCAAAGCAGCGAATATTACGAGACTTCAAGAAGTTCAGCAGTGGTTCAGAGTGGAGGTAGTCTCTAATTGTACCCGTGCGAAAAAACGAAAGGAATTCCCGTCCATGAAAACGCAAAACGGTGACTTCTTATTTGGCCGCCTCAGTTTCACATCAATGACCAGGTGCAGCTCCCCAAAACGGATTTATGCACGAGCGCATCGCTACTAGCTTTTCTGGCACACATCGATCAACATCAGGGCGCTTCCAATCAAGAGTCCGGTCAATGCCGCACAGGCCTGAGCATTCGTCCAAATCACCAACTTAACCAGTGGGCGGATCGCTTTTGTGAGCGGAGCGCCTTCGAAATCCCACTCAGCAACCACCAATAGCACCTTTCCTCGTCAAAGCGCTACACTTCGCTTCCCTGGCATGCAAGTAACTGATTCGTGTGGCGCACATGCTTCCCCAATTCGCTCTCTATTTATCGTAATCGCTGCCTTTAAAGGCAAACCCTATGATTGGCCCGACTAGTAGAGGTATACCACTAGAGAAATTGCAAGGTCTGAAGCTGCCTAAACCATTTCCAGCTTCGTCGCGAAAATTTCGTGGTTAGGGCGCTATTCCTTACGGAGCCAGCAACCATCGACTCAATTTCCAATGCTCATGCAACCCACCGCGAGATGTAGTGAGATCAGCGTGCTCTCTCAAACGACGTGCTCTCTCTCGCATATTTTGTCTTCTTTGACCGCCCTTTCTCGACATCGTACCACATCCGACCCTGTTAAAGGGTAAGACCTTAGTTTCAGCGTTGCTTAAAGATTTCTCTTGCTTTCCTTCCCAACTTTCAAGCGTTCCGCAGCTAAGGTATCTCTACAGAGCGCTTCTAGCACTAGTTCAATCCCGAAGTTTGCCTTTAATGCCCGAATGTGTGAAGCGTGATAGTGTTACTTCAAGGCACACCTTAGGCAGAAGTCGGTGAACGATTCACTTCGATGCGTAGAATAGATGCCCAGAGGATAATCACAGATGTGACGCTCCCCAACACAGAAATCACCCGAAAAGGGTGCTTGCAAAGCTAGCTGCATCAGCTGCAACTTTCCCAGCCCGCAGCAGGCTGTTCAGGTCTTTTGTATGAGGCACTTATCTCCTGCGTTCTCTCGCTCATACTCGTCCTCTTCGCGCTCAGTCTTGCCGTAGCCGAGCTGCACTACGAAGATGAGCAAGCCCTTACCATGAGTTTTTGACAAATTCTTTCCATTTTTTCATATTTTTTGCACAAATCGTTCTTTGTTCTTTTTTCGAGCGAGATCTAATTAGGATATGACGGAATAAACTTATTCCCCTTAACGTTTCCTCTATTAAACTGCCTTCTTTGACTACCAACCATAGCTTCAAGAACTTTACGTCTTCACGTGAGTACAGTGTGCCTGAAACGTCTCTCAACCAGGGTGAATATCGGTCGAGAATTCCTCAACGCTTATCGAAGTTTTTCGCCAGCTGCTAATTAACCTCTCCCTCCGAGATTCCAACACTCACCATCGCGCGAGCGTCTCTGCCATCACCCCACGCTTACTTCCTCCTCGACTGCTCATCACCTAGTAGAGACATGGCGATGTGTATTCTCACTAGTACTAGCTAACTTCAATGCTATCGCAGCTCTCCTTTGCACTATCAATAATGCTAAGATCAATTTACAATGAAAAAGTGATCTACCTCCATAAGATCTACAGCAGCTTGTTCCACTGGTCTTTCAATAATCATAAGTCACAACCTAGAAACGCACCATCTTGCTGCAACATTTGAGCATTTACTGTTACTACTAAGCAGTTGAATGAACTGACTTTAAAGCTGAGTATTCTCATAAGGAAACTCACGGCATTCCGGGTGTGGTCTTTAGACAAGAACGCAGAACTTATTTCAGCTCATCGCATACGCGACCTCCCGCGCGCAGGATCTGCCACGCGGCAGGCTAGTGCACCCGCAGCGAAAACAACTACGGTATGGAAGAACGCGCGATTGGAGCAGCTTTTTTTGCATGCGTGAATTTGTAAGTTTCTGATTCCTTACTTGCCCGCGCTCACACCCATTGTATTGATAAATGCGGTGAATCACTAATTCTGTCTCATTATTGAAAACGTTTTGTGACTTACACGATTCCGGGCGATGCCACACAAATGGTGTTTTACGAATTATCGGTGAACGAGGTTTAGTAGTGTCGTTGTGCTTGCATTTTGTGGGTTCATATTGTTGTATAGACATCTGCATAAGGGTATAACATCTTTTACGGAACGCTTCTGTCCTCATCACGGATATGATACTCATTTTTGACGCTGGCGCCATTTGGGGCCGGGTGGCGCCACAACTGATTCCCACTAAATTCGCTGTAAACTTCTGTATAAGGGTTATTATTCGGGGTCCTGATTGTTGTTAGCGCTATTCGGCGCCTGCTTCCTGCTCGTCTGCGCCCTCGCACTAATTAGATCGCAATAGGACTAAGCCTTTGAGTAGTGTAGGGCTCCAAAGTGGGTAGGCCATTCCCCTGTGGTCTGACACACTCCAACTTTTGCCACACGGTGCGTGGTTTACTCAGTCATAAAAATTTCACTCCCCTCCCCTAAGCTTAGTCGTAAGCGCTGTAGGTAAGAAAGCTTAGGAAAGCAGAAAGTATGCGTTAAACAGCACGAATGTGAAAAATGAGTGTCATATTCATGATCAGGGCCCCAAATAACCCCTATGCAGAAGTTTACAGTCGTCTCATCAAACGTCCATCAACCATTCCTCTTCCAGGTTCTCCAGAAGCTCTACCATCCATCTCTGCAAAAATAACCTACCTCCCTCTTCACTGCTAGTTAGCGGTCCACTTCTGGTTACCATTTCCTCGTTCATTATCAAATCCATGGCTATTAAGCTTCAAACTCCTTGTCGCAATCAAAGCCGACACAAATATCGCGCTCCAATCGCGCGTTCCTATACCGTAGTTGTTTTCGCTGCGGGTGCGCCAGCCTGCCGCGCGATGTCGCGTTGCGAAGAGCGAAAAAGTCGCGTTCTGTCCTAAGTACCCACACCCCGGCACCCGAGCTACGCTACAAAAACAAAAAGCACATATTTGTCGACTTATTTGAAAATTTCTGATACTACTTTTTCTTCTTGACTTGGATGACTACCAATACTCCCTCTCGAAGAGAGGATCACCTCAACTGCATTTAAATAATGATATTGGGCATGACTCCTTGTCAAAGACCCACAGGCATGCCATTAACATCCGATTAAATACGACCCAAAACAATCTAAGTGATCAGATCTAGTGAACTGTTAAAACAACATAAAGACTTCGTAAGTATTTCATGCATTGCGCAATCTGAAAATCTATCACTCTTAGAATGTCATTGATTTTGCGTCGCGGACTGTCATTAAATCCGATACAGCGCTGAGAGTATACCCTGTGAGATAACTTCTACGAAAATGTTTAAAAAATATTTCAAACGATCTTACCATTTTCTACTCTGCTGACAATAACTTGATTACGGTAGTGTTTAACGAATAGACCGAACTTGACACCTTCATAGAAATTGATCGTTACAAGATAGTAAGCAAAGCTAAAAGGTCGTTATGATTACTTAGGAAACACCTTCCACATGTAGTGTTTTGCAAAACCGTTTTTCCACCTCCTGTAATCAGCAAATTGGTGTAATTTTGGCGTCAAATTGCGTCTAGTTGGTGCAACCCTTGTTTTCACCGAATTCGATGTAAACTCACACATAGGGATAGTTTAATGCCCTAATCATGACTAGGACATTCATTTTCAACACTAGCACCATTGAGCTCCCTTTTCCTGCTGGTATGCCCCTCTCACTGGTGACGTTGCGCTTGGGTACCATAAGCCAGGAAGGTGCTCCACAGTAGGTATGTTAGTACTCGTCCTGTTACCTCAACATACTATTGGGTTGATGCATAATTATTGCGGCTTTTTCAACAAATTTTATTCAGCGAAAACGATAAAATATTCAACAAAAACATGTTTAAATGATTATTCCGGAGCGTAGTCACCATCCTTCAAGAATGCTTCCCATTTGCTTGGCAGTCGGTCGATTCCACGGGTGAAGAAGTCACGATTCTTGGAGACGATCCACGCTCTAACATCGGCCACCAAGTCATCCAGCTCGTCGTAAATTTTGTTCGTTTGCCAGTTTTTCAACGACTGATTGAAGTGGTAGTCTGTAGGAGCTTCGGTCGGTAAATGTGACGTTTTGAACCTCTTGAACCATCTTTCAACTTGGCTTTTGCTAATTGAGTTCGTTGAGATCGCAAACGACTCTGCCGCCTTCCAACCTTTCTCGAAGTGGTAGAGCATATATGGCGAATATGAAGATGATTTTCGATAAGCATTTCTGTTAATGAAGAGAGAAGAATATTTCATGAAAAATAATAAACAAAACGCCAATCTTCTCGAAAAAAGAAGGCGCGAAAAAATCCGCAATAATTATGCATCAACCCAATACTTTATCCCAATGAGTATCCATTCACAGTAGCTCCACTCCGGCACCACGGCTGTTTTCACTAAATTTGATGGAATATTGATGATCAGGAAGCCAACGATAATCTCTCAACGGGAACTGTAACGAAAAATTGCCTCATCTCAACTCACTGGGGATCAGTGCAATAATAACCTGTGATCTCGATCTCTAATTCAGGCGATCTCACGGAAACGACTGATACGATTCGGAAGTTCCGGAACATTCATCAACTAATCCTTACGCACAAGTCTAGCCCTTTCCATGTTCTTCAGAAAGAATGAGTAATCGTCCTCATAATCTTCTTTTTCTACTTCTCCTCTTCTCCCTTGGTCTCGCGCACGCGTCGGGCCTGCTGCCTTTGTCAGCTCACTTTCTTCTGGCCAGAACATCGTCTTCCGCGGCCGTGGCTTCATTTAGGTCCTTCTTGATTCTCCACGCCTTCTTCGGGGCTCCTTGCGGTCGCTTGCCTTGCGCTTCGAAGTCCATCGCGTTCTTATCGGATGATCCTGTGGCCTCCTTAGCACATGCCCATACCATCGCAGACGTCACTCCCGCACCTTCAGCTGGACAGGGGCAGTCTGCATGACCGCTCTGACATCCTCGTTTCTGACCCTGTCCAGTCGCGTCCAGCCGCAGGCCCATCTCAGCATCCTCATCTCAGCGGAGTGAAGCTGCCTTTCGTGATTCTTGTTCAGGGGCCAGCACTCGCTGCCGTAGAGCATCGCAGGCCTTACCACTGTCCGGTACACCTTCCCTTTGAGCGCTCTGGAGCACCTTCGATCGCAGAGGATTCCAGTGGACTCCCTCCATTTCATCCATGCAGCGTTGACCCGAGCCTTCACCGCCTGATCCACACTACCGTCGGCTGCCAGATCGCTCCCAAGGTATCGGAAGTCCTCCACTCTTCGACTAATCAATAGCTGCTCACGATTGGCTCTGCACCCTCTTCGGAGCTCAGATTGGGGGGGACGCGTTAGCAACTTGATATCCAGACGAGCCAACTCTTTCTCCAATTTTTGCAGCCATTTTCCTGTTCCCTTGGCCCGGCATCTCATTCTGCTACCTTCGCTACTCAAGAGTGATGTCAAACTAACAGGGTGTCCTTACGTGCGCCCTTTATGTAGTCCCTCAACCGATGATACATGTATGTCTAGGAGGACCACGTAGGAAAAGAAGGCTCAGTAGCTGAATTCCTTGCATGTCAGTCTCCCTACCAAAAGATATCCACTCTCCTTTGTCACGCCGTGGGAAGTGCGTTATTCTGCTCTCCCCCGTGCCTCTTGAGAGATCATGTGTTCTGACATGTTTCCGTTTCCTGAACGATCCCAGAGCGGTCTCTCCATTAATGCCTTCGCCATGACATCTAATGTCAGGAAGAAGGACAAACGGGCTCAGAGTGGACCCTTGGTGTACCCCAGTTGTGATCATCACCTCCCCTGTGGAGCTCGGAAAAGATGGCCGAACGCCTTCTCAATGTCGAGGCAGGCCAGGTAGCAAACTGGCGGCTCTCTCTCAATATTTCTCCATCTACTACTAGGCGACGGAATGGCATACGTCGTTGACTTCTTCAAGCATAAACCCCGATCTGTTCCCTCGTTGATCGCTCCGTTTCTTCGCATCCCCCCCCGCAGCTTCGAATCGACCACCGCCGCTCGTACAGCTTCATGGAATGAGCACTGGAGTTGAACCCGCGGTAGTTGGAGCAGTCCATCGCCCCACACTTCTTACTACTTCTTTACTTCTCAACGACCTCATCCTCTGTCTGCAGAAATGGGACCATCCTTCGCTTCTGCTTGTGAACTGCTTTTGTGGGAGAACTCCTCGTTCAGAAGTGCACTGTAGTACTCTTCCCACCTCCCTTTGACTTGGGCTGGCTTCCTCAGTATGGCGCCGTTGTTGCTCTTTACGCTCTTCACCACCCTGATATCTTGAGTAGCCCGATGCCGGGCTTTGGCCAGTCTGAAGACGAACTTCTCTGCGTTTCTGCTCTCCAACTTCTCGTACAAGGCGTCCATTTCCGTGTTCTTTGCCTTAGCGACGGCTGTTTAGCAAGATTCATGCAACTTGTTGACAGCGAGATTTTCAGGGCTCTGCCCTGTCCTGTCTGCCCTGATTCCACTCCGCCTTTCACCCAGTCTCCTTTGACATCATAGGATATTTAGTCACGATGCTCCGAATCCGCGGTATCGGCCCGTCAGGATCGGGTGACCAACTTCCATTATCTTTCGTTGAGGTCGCCGTTTTCCGCTGGTGGCAGCTTCATCACCTCGGATTCTCCTCTCGGTTCTTACCCTTGTCTTCTTGGGGAGGTCTATCGCAATGTCTGCCAGGAAGGGGCCTGTGCTGGGGAGCCATTTCTTCGCCAGGGAGTACCTTGATATCCTTCACAGTTTTGAGGGATGATCTTCTTACGAGCACATGGTCGATTTCCGTTTGTCCCCTTCCACTGCTGCGGGTTACCTTTTAACCAGGTCGTTGTCGGTTGGTTTTTCTTATCTTCTCATACCTCCTGCGCCTTCTCTGCTCTCCAGCTTCCATTGCTATAGATGGCCGAGAGTTTGCTCAGTGGATGTTTATGTGAGTGTTATTATCATAATCATTCCATCTCGAGCGATGATACTGAAAGATTTGCGAGCTCCCCAGTTTTGCTAACGGTTGGTTCTTTCCACTAGCCGCATTATCACTTCACTTGAGAGAGGAAAGGGCAGGCACACCGACTACATACATACAGATTTACATACCGACACACCACCAAGTTAGCGGTCCACATCTCCTAACAGGTAAGACAGCGTTCAGAGTTGGCGATCGTACGTGCGATTAGGCGATTATTCTAAAAGAGGGTATACGCATCGATTAGGCGTTTCGGCGAGTGAGCGATTAGGCAAGAAGGGGATTAGGAGCGCAAAAGAGTAGGCGATGAGAAAGATATATATCGAATTGTTTGCTACGCCACTGAGCGAAGGCCTAATCGCTTAATCGCCTGTACGATCGCCAACTTTGAACGCCGCTTAATCTTTCAAAACTATAATACCAGCAGGAGTCCCGCTGGAGGTCCAACTTATGAACGGTTACGCTATGCAGCTTGTGGAAATGATTGCGGTAGAACAGCATCTCGTTACAACATGACGCTTTTTGTCGCCACCCCGATCTCATATTTGAGCGTGTTATGAAAAACAAGGTAGGATGAGCACAAACCCTGTTCTCACTGCGAAATTCCGAGTTCGATCAGCTGGAACTGCACCCATGTTTTCCGCTACGGGGTCAGGTTCCTGATTCGTAGCGAACTGAGCAGTTGGCTGTTCATAAATCTAAATAAATCACAACAAAGTAAATACAATTACCCGTTTGGTGAAGTGACCACATTGCTGTTGCATACCGCATATGTGCTTCTCCCTGAATATGCCGATTCATCCTCAGCTGGCTTCTGCTGGTTTTCAGACACGTTCACAGACATGAGCTTGGCTAGTACGGTTAGTTGAGTGATTGCAAGTGAACCTCACCAGCTGCAAGTCACATGAGGAACATTACCAGTCACTATCAGTGTATCATTACACTCTGAAATGTGTTTCTGGACGTTTTCAAATCAGTTATCCATATTGTAGTCCATGCCTCGAAGTCTGATTAGGCATGTCGATGGATATGATGTGACTGTCACCGCACTTGACAGTTGCGCAGATGAGAGCGTTCAGAGTTGGCCAGCGTACGTGCGAGTAGGCAATTAGGCGAGTAGGCGATAAGAAAAGGATGTGTATCGATTTGTTTGCTCATCGCATTGCGCATTGAGCGATCGCCCAATCGCCTCACTCTGCCTACAACGTTCTAACGGCGCGAGCAAACCAATCAATACGTATGTTGTCTTCCCGCCTGACGCCTACTCGCTAATCGCCTAATCTATACGTATATTTTTCATTATAGATTAATCGCCTAATCGTCTAATCGCACGTTCGATCGCCAACTCTGAACGCTCCATGAACTGCTTCCAGCATGCTTTGCTGATATCCAGTTGAGTATGTGAGCCACAGCTTAACCTACGAATTCTAATCAAGTGGCGACGACGCAACATCAAAAAGTGATAGAGAGAGGTCAGATAATAAGACATCAAAGTTAGACAGCCACTCAGATATCGAACTAATACGTTAAAGGCAAAGGTCGGGCTTAGTTGACCTAACCAACCCTTTCGGTCATGTCTGTACTTGGTTACGCACCCGTACAGATGTTCCCACGCTCAAAATCTCGAACGACGCGTAATAAGGCCTCAGGGCACGTACTATGCGCTATCGCCGCCTGGCCCCGCTACGACCGCCCACCTCGGGATGTGGTGGCTGGCATAACGTGTGAAATCAGCTAGGTTGATTGCCGTATCA